GTGTGTGTGTGTGTGTGTGTGTTGTGTGTGTGTGTGTGTGTAACAAGGCCAAGCAGAAAGAAAACATGGGCTGATTCTAACAGATAAGGGACAGTACTCATTTGAAATGAAGCAAGATTTGAAAGCTAGTAGGTAGTCACTTGAAGGTGATAAACAGAAGTGCCCAAATAGGAATATGCTTTCAGTTTGAAAACCACAGAGGACAGTCACAATTACAAATGTGATGTGTGTACTGTAAGAATGTAAAAATGTTTAAAAGATCATCTGTTAGTTCAGGAAGAATTTAGATTTACCAGCAGATGTGTTCATGTATAATTGATTTGATCGAGCCCTCTCATTTTATAGATGAGTATACTGTTTATAGGAGTCTCAAAAATTTAGATGATTTTATGCAATTATAACAGAACTACAGAATGCTTGTCCTAGAATTAACCAAGTAGGAGGTACGCATCAAATTCACATGCTTTATCTTCAAGTTAGTTACACACTGCATTCATAATGCCCATTCCTCCACACTTATAACTTCTTTTAAGTAACAAAAATTTGGAGGGGCCGTGTTCTTTTGAGGGAATTTAGAAGAAATCTGACAAGTGGAAGGAAAAGAAATCCATAACTCCTTGAGATGGTTACTGTTAAAAGTTTGAAAGTTTGGCAACCTCAGAGACCTGAATTTATCTTTAACAAATAGTGTGCTGTTGATCACTGGGAGTAACTGAAGAACGTGGTATTGTTTTGCCTTTTACTAAAAATAGCTTTAGGGTGATTTATTTTTTGACGGCACTAGAAAATCTCCAGCAACCTTCTAGATGGTTCTTCCTCTCCATTTTCTTTTCCTTTGTTGGTAAAGGCTGGTGGGACAGGTTGCTGAGTTTGTTGTTGGCATGTGTAAAACAAAAGTTAATTGGTCCAAAGTAAAGGATCGGAAGGCCATTCCAATGAATAAAGTATAGTTTGAGTGAATCAATTCAATGACAGTAGTTTTGGTAACTTACAAAACTTTTTCCTCCTGACCTGTGCTTCCACATGAATACCTTAATTGTCTAAATACACCTTTAGTGGTTACAAAAAAGATCACAAAACAATGTGAAAGGCACTATATTATATTAGAGAAGTACTTGAAGCAGTTACGTTTTAATTAGTGTTAGATATCCTTGCATGGGTATGCATTTGAGTGGTGTGAGTTGGTGCTCCATTAGCATAGATTAGGTCTTAATAAGTTTTGTATTTCTAGGGCTAGGCAATTGGTTTGTTAAATTTCTTTTGGAATTTGTCATCATAGTTGTCCTTGAACTGTTAGCATTTTAAAGCTTTTTGTGAGTTTGGTATAAGTAAATGTAGTCCTTCCCACTCTGTTGTACTTTGGAGGGATATCTGTCCAATAACCATACATACACAGCTTAGCTTGTTTTTACTGAAAGAGGAGGATACCACAGTAGTGGATTATGACTGGATAAAATTAAAAGATTATAGATACTAAAGTCACTTGGCCTAGCTAGGGGAGGAGAAGGGAGGGAGCGGTGAGGGAGGAAGGCTGTGAATGGGCTGTAGATGAATGAGTGTTGCGGGAAGGCCGAGGGCAGCCAAACACAGAGGGCAGTACAAATGAAAGCCACAAACTAGTTATTGGTTGAATTATAGAAAACAGAAATTCCAGAGGAAGAAGATGATGTAAACAAAATGTCTTTTGTAGAATTTCAATGAGGTTTTAATGTTCCTTTTTAATTGTATGATTAATAAATACAGCTTAGGTGAAAAACAGCTCTTAAGTAGTCCATCTTGAATTATATCACTCTGCAGTAAGGTAAATGTATTCTCTCCCAGTAATAATATTGCAGTTAATGTTTTGATTAGAAGCTTCCCTAACCTTTTTTTGCATCCTCTTCTTTTCCCCATTGGAGGCTTCGCATCACCAAAGGCTGAGTCTCTTGCTGCTCAGCCTGCCGCCACAAGCCCAGTGGTTTATACAAGACCAGCAATAAGTAGCTTTTCTTCCAGTGGAACCGGGTTTGGGGAAAGTTTCAAAGCTGAATCATGGCAGTGTGATACCTGTCTACTCCAGAACAAAGTTACAGACAGCAAGTGCGCAGCCTGCCAGGCAACAAAACTGTCTCCAAAAGATACCATTAAACAGACTGGAATTGGGACACCAAGTAAAAGTGGCAAATCAGCTCCTTCTGCATCAGGGACAGGCTTTGGAGACAAATTTAAACCAGCAGTAGGAACTTGGGACTGTGATACCTGTTTAGTGCAAAACAAATCTGAAGCAGTAAAGTGTGTGGCTTGTGAAACACCAAAGCCTGGAACTGGTGTTCAGCGCGTTCTTACATTGACAGTGGCTTCAGAAAGTGCTGTGACCGTGGCTGCTTCCACCTCCAGCTGCACAGTGACCACTGGTACCTTAGGATTTGCAGATAAATTCAAACAGCCTGTCGGATCTTGGGAGTGTCCAGTATGCTGTGTTTTTAATAATGCAGATGACAATAAATGTGTGTCCTGTATGTCTGAGAAACCAGGTACGTTTATGGATGTTTGGAATAATCTTGCTCATTACTTTAATAGGACATTTAAATTATTCTCCATCTGCTGACAATATGACAACAACCTTTTTTTGGTAAGAATGAGAAAAAGAACAACTTGAATAATTTAAATGTTTCTGGATAAGCATTTCCTCCTACATTGTAATTTTCCTAAGCTATCTTGAGATAAAATGGCTTGTTGGGTGGGATCTGCATGTGCCCTTAGGTAGACTGCATGTCAACCAGCCCGACATATACTTCGTATGCATTTCTGTCAGAAATTCCTTGCTCTCCATGACCATTTTCAGAGCTGACTAACATATATGCTGGGAGGCTTTGAAGTGGGGAAGTCTTTTTAAAACTTTTATACAGGATAAAATGCTACCTTGTCTATTTTTCTTCAAATAGAAGTGAGTTTGGCCGGGGGTCATTTCTGGAAGGTTTCATTAAAGGGTCAACAATGCTGCCTTAGGAAAGGGCCACAGCTGCAGATCGGTGGTGCCGCTTTACCTGTACCTGTGTGCACCTGCCAGAGACGCCGCAGCGCCAGTTAGTAAGCCACTAAGTCAGCACTGAAAAAATTCTGACTTAGGCAGTTACAGAAATGGAGTTCAGTTTGAGTTTTTTGTATCTCCCTGTTCAAATTTGGAGGTTACTGAAGATTCACATGAAATGAATGCTGTTTTTCTAATACTGTTATATATTATTCGGTCTATAGTATGTGGTAGCATGGATACTAAATAAAACAGGATACACATATCTGGGAATTATACTTCTTATTTTTAGTGACTGTTTATGGATGTGTAGTTTTATGTGTGCAATGGAAAGTCTTGAGTTACTAGCTTTAGACCCCCTTGTCTGAACACAAGGGGTGAGCCAGCAAATTCCTCAATATCTACACAAGAGTAAGGTTTCAAAATCTGGCATCTCTCTTCCTTGAGGCAAGGCCCCTTGGTTATTTAGGAAACCAAAATTAATTCTGAGTTGAAGGGAGATTAATGAGTCAGAAAGTAAATTGTTACACGCAAACAGAGGAAGCTCATGTATGTGGTGTGTATGTGAATTCAAGGGTTTCGACTTCATCCCCTAAGTAATGAAATATCATTTTAAGCAGAGGAGTGATACATGGTCAAACTTGTGTTTCTGATGAATCACTTGGTGGCTTTTTTGGAGGGTAGAATTGAAGGCAAAATTTGGAGAGTAGAGGACAGAAAAGGAAGTACTGATATAGGCAAAGATAAGGTGATATGTCATAATGGAATTAAAAGAGGGTGGAGAGTTGTAGAATAATGAATGTACAGTTGGAGACACATTGATTTGAAGGTGCTGAAGTCAGCACTTGCGTGGGGCCTTTGGGTATATGATAATGGACCCTCTGGGCTTGAGATCCAGATTTGGTAGTCATTATCCCATAGTTTGAAATAAGTCATTGGAGTACATGTGATGTTGAGTGGCTGAATAGAGAAGATGGTTTAAAACTGAACTCTGCTAGTTTAAGGGAGTGGCAGGAAAAAATATTTGGAGCAGTTAATCTTTTAAAGGAGTGGAGAGGAAAAGCAAACCACATGACACTGGTTGCTTCTTAGAAGGATGGATTTCAAGGGAACAAGACCAGGGGTCTCAGTAAGGCTTTTATTACTTAAGCAAGAGATGGGTTGGGGGAAGCTAGAGGCTTGAACTAGAATAGCAGGAGAAGGGTCGGAAAAGAGAGGGAAGTAGATTTGAGAAATATCTCGGGGAGGTGGAACTGCCTAGCCAAGCTGACCAGGTGGATGGTGGAACTGCTGACCAAGAAGGAGCCGGCAGGGATGAAGCGGGCACAGACCAGTCCGCTCTTGTTGGTGATTAAAATAAAACCTTCTGAGTAGATGAGAGCTTGTGAGAAAGGGAGAGGACCAAAGACGGACCCTCGGGTGTGACATTACTGGCCAGATGGAAGAGGACATGCCAGGAAAGCACAGATACGAGCCGACTAGGGGCAGCAAGGGTGGCAGCTGGAGAGCATTCAGACAGGCTGCAGCGCCGAAGGGCGCTGTCTTTAACGCCTCAGTTCTTCATGCTTCGGGCTGTGCTGAGCCGTCGTTTCTGTTCTGCTGCTTCTCCGTGAGTCCGTTGGTTCTGCTTAAAGACTGAAGTCGGCCTCCTGAACCCTTTCCCTGCCCCTTAGTCGATGCTTCCTTCTTCGCACTTTTGTATTAACTAGGTATTCATCACTTTCCATCCTGGTGGTAGTGCTACCGCACATTTATATTTTCCTTTACCCTTTTTTAGGCCATTTGCAACTTGGATGTTAAGCAATATTTTACTTACTTATGTCCCCAGAACCTAGTAAATGTCTGTTAAATGGCTAACTTACAACAGAAATGCCATGAACGTAGTATATATGGTTGAGTTGAAATACTAAGTGGGTGATGGAACGCTTAAATGCAAAAAACGGTCATTTTGAAGACAGAGACTTGGTGGTTTCATTATGAAATGGACATAATATAAATGAGAACTTTCATGTGTGTTTCCCCATTACTTTTTATTAGGAAGTCCAGTTCCTGCTTCAGTCAGCAGCACGGTCCCTGTCTCTCTGTCTCCCGGAGGCTGCCTGGGACTAGAAAAGGCCAAGGAGCCCGAGGGGAGCTGCGAGGTGGGCCTAGTGCAGAATAAAGTGGATTCTACCAAATGTGTAGCAATTGAAGCTGCAAAGCCAGGCACAGGACCTGAGTTTAAAGGTAAGGCGTTGAAAGTGCCTCCTTGTATTTAAAGTGAAATAATTGAAGCACCAGTAGTTTTAAAATTACTCATTCTCTATTGACAATTCATGTAAAGCAGATTTTTAGCAGGACTTTTAGCTTATACCTATTTCTGAGTCACTGTGCAGCCGGGGTCTTTTGCTGGTCAGCAATGAACTATCTTCTCTGCAGCTGTAAAAAGAACTGTTGTACCTTGTGTTACTGAATCTGAGACACTTTCTGTTTTTGTGTTTAACTGTTAACAATCCTTTGGCTTCTAGATGAATTTCGTGACTCCTGTTTGACTGGGAATACACACCCCTATTTAAAGCTTCTCTTAACTAATCTAGATTTGGGCTTTGGTTTCCCAGAGTATGTCCCAGAAAAATAACTCCTAACATTTTGTTATGTATGCTAAACTATCTGGAGGGCACATTTCTCAAATCTTCATAATCCTGTACGAATTATTTCATACATGGCTTTCAAACTTTTGATGCAAACCAGTCAGTAAACCTACACATTGTGGCCCATCACATGTTCAGGGTATTTGCATGATTGAAAGGAGAGTTTTACAAACTACGAGTTCCCTCTAGTAAGGGTAAAGCACCCTCGTGCTTTCTGTCCTTTTTCATTTTAGAAGAAAAATGCTAGTTGCAGCCCACTAAATCAATCACATTTTAATGGGCCACAACCGGTAGGAAGAACGCCACACCGAGTGTTCTGGGAGTCGGCTGCCTCTGCCTTGGGTCTGTCTGTGGCTCTGCCCTCAGCCCCTTTCTCATGCCCCCTCCATCCCTGTAGCTGTCCCTTTGAGGGTGAGGGGCCCTTGAGGCACAGGTGAGAGGTAGTTAATTACTGTCTTAGGCACCTTTATTTTTAGCTTTCTTACTATCACTTAGGGTATTTTAGAGACTGTGTGGATGACCATTTTCTCCTGAGATTGTGATACAATTTTTCAACTAAGTTTCTTAGGGAAGGAAAGTGTGGTGGGTGATCATTAAGGGAGGAAATCTGAAGATGAGGGCTTGTAAAGCTTTGCTGCCATTTGCCTTTATTTACATATAGGTACACAGAGCGGTGTATAAAATCCCTTGGCACCCTTCAGTCCTGTTTTGAGCCAATCAGGTGCTTCATTTCTAGTTCAGTTATAGAAAAGCATTATGAAACCAAGTCTTTGATCTCATTATATAGTATTGTGTATCTTTTTAAGTATGCTTCCACTTAAGTAATTCTTCTGGTTCTTTGATGCCAAAAAAGTTTAATGTTTGAGTAAATTACACATTTATTCACAATATTTAAAAAACAAATTATGACAAGATTCACAATGAAAAGTCTCTTTCTTGTTCCTATTGGCTCATTTTCAGTCTTTCCCTATTAAAGGTAATAGTTATTTTCTTGTAACTCAGTATCTTTATGCATATAATAAGCAATTACTGTTACTCTGTATATTCTTATTTCCCTCCACCTTGTTAGAAAAGGTTGTGTACCATACTGCCTTTCTGCCCCTTTGATTGTATCATGAATTAGCTTGGACATACCTTGTTCTTCATTCTTCATTTATAGCTGGCTGGATTCCATATGGCATTTTGCGTGTCTTGAGTTTATCTTTAAAATAAAGACTCAGCTGTAGATTTGCTGGGTCAAAGTATTTATGTGTTTGTAATTTTTAGTAAATAGTGACAATTGCCTCCCACAAATTATGTGCTAGTGTATGCATCCACTGCAACATGTAAAGTGTATATTACTCAGTCTTATCATCAACACTGTTTTACCAGACTTGTTTGCTCTCTCCCGGTCTGATCGATGAGAAGTGGCGTGTCAGTGTAGTTGTAAGGATTGTGATATGATGCTTATACTGAATATGGGGCAGCATGGTATGTTACTGTCATTGCTAATATTCTTCAAAATTGGACTTTTCAAAGATAATCTTTGTCCCTTCGGTTTTCAAAGTTGACGTTTTGTTTGAGGATAACAATTCATTGTCTTTGTGGTGTCTTTTATGTTTTTCAAGGCTTTGGCACATCTTCCTCATCTTCGAATGCAGCAGCCTCACCGTTCAAATTTGGTATCCCATCCTCCTCCTCCGGGCCTTCTCAGACTTTAACAAACACTGGAAATTTTAAATTTGGAGACCAGGGAGGCTTCAAAATAGGTGTGTCATCAAATTCTGGGTCCATAAACCCCATGAGTGAAGGCTTTAAATTTTCTAAACCAATAGGAGATTTTAAATTTGGAGTTTCATCTGATTCTAATCCTGAGGAAGTTAACAAAAAAGACAGTAAGAATGATAATAATTTTAAGTTTGGACTTTCTTCTGGTTTAAGCAATCCACCTTCTTTAACTCCATTTCAGTTTGGGGTGTCTAATCTTGGGCAGCAAGAAAAGAAAGAAGAACTGCCTAAATCTTCATCCACAGGCGTTAGCTTTGGTACAGGGGTTCTTAACCCTGCCCCTAACATCACAGTGACCTCTGAGGACAAGAGCAGCTTCAGCTTTGGGACCATCGAAACAAAGAGTGTCTCAGTGGCTCCCTTTCCATGTAAGACGGCAGAAGCAAAGAAAGAAGAAATGCCTGCTGCCAAAGGAGGGTTCAGTTTTGGCAATATGGAACCTGCCCCTCTGCCATCCACCTCATTGTTTGTTTTGGGAAGGACAGAAGAGAAACAGCAAGAGCCTGCCGCTTCTGTGGCTCTGGTGTTTGGGAAGCAAGCCGACAACGAAGAGCCGAAGTGTCCGCCAGTGTTTCCCTTTGGGAATTCAGAGCAACCCAGAGATGGGAGTTCTCCAAAATCGACCTTTAGTTTCAGCATGGCAAAACCAGCAGAAAAGGAATGCGACCAGCCAGCAAAGGCCACTTTTGCTTTTGGAGCTCAAACCAGTACTACAGTTGGTAAGTATTAAATATTTATTTACTAGGTGTCTTAGATATCTCAACAAATGCAGCAAGTCAAGGAATGGTTTACACTGAACACAGTTGAAAGAGCCCAGTAACAGGGCTCTCTGAGAAGGAGCTTAGGATTTTCAGTTTTAACTGCTCCAAGCCCCCATGATTCTGATGAAGTTATCTGTATCTAATTTTGAAAAATACAGCTCCCATGGGAAGCCCAAAATACTGCTTTTTCATCAGAATTGGTATATACTATAAAGGGAAATAGACATTCTTTCTTAAGCTCATGCAATATTTTCTTACCAGTAAAATCTTTATTGTACAGACCTTCATTCACAGATAATCAGTCACTGTCAGTCATTTAAGGAACATAGACAACAAATGTAATTAATCCCTGAGAAATAAAGGTGATTTTGAAAACTAAAATCTTGAAGAAAAAATGAAATAGCATTTTTAAAAATTAAAAACATGGCTGGTGAAATAAAATCATTCTATGGACTGAGTAACAGGAAGAACCTAACTGATGATGAGATTAGTGAACTGGACTTTTCTGTGACCCAGCGAAAAAGTGCAGAGATTGATCAGAGCTCGATCCCCAAGTTCCATCAGAGTAAGAGTGCTTACAAGATGAGAGCAGTATGGAAGGAACACCAGAGAGGAGGCAGAAGGAAACTCCCTAGATGTACAGAAAGACAATGGTCTTAAAAATGGAAATGACCTGCCCACTTACTGACAAAGACCAGTGAGAATTTAGGAAACCAAAGCCAAAAGCCTGAATGCTTTCAGAGAAAGAAAAGCTGTTTGCCACAAATAAACAGATAGCAGATTAGCATCAGACTTGTGATTTGTAACATCAGATGCTAAAAACAGTAGAGTATTGCCCTCAAAGTGAAAATGGTCTTGAACCTGGAATTTTATGACCAACTAAATGTTCAAACATAAGGGCAAAAATACAAAGGTTTTCCAACAAGCAAAGAAGCGAAAGTTGAACACCAGTGAACACTTTTGAATAATGAATTAGAAACACAAACAAAATGAAAAATTTGCCTGAAAAGAAAAATAGTATGGAATTTAACAAATAGGTTTGAGCAGTTTTAATCTCAAGTTTTAACTTAGAAATTTGAAACTCCCTCCAAAAAAGTGAAAACTAGATCATATACTATTTGGAAAGGAATAAAAATTAGATAGAGTCTAATCAAATTTAATCGTGGTGTCGCTATATTGTTTCCATTGTAATAGATACTGACTTTCCCGACTTGATTCCCGACTTGAAACTGAGCCAACAGTCTGGCTCCAAATCATACTAATGTCAGTATTGTAAAGTGACCAGCCTGTCTCATAGGCAGTATTGGCACCGAGACGTCAATCGGACAGTGAGAAAAACAAAATCTTCAGTGAGGTGCACAGCCGTGTTTATTCAGGAACACCACAGCTTTCTTCCACATCAGCAATAAAGAGTTGGACAATATATCTCATTTGTATTTTCTGACATTTTGAATTTGTAGTTTATGACAGCAGCAGGACCTGTGATATGCGGATCAGTTGAAGGAACAAGAAAGACTCGTTCCTCAGTGAAAGTATCCCTCTCCCCTCCTAGTCCCGCACCCCCCCCCCCATATCATTTCAGTTCTTAGAGAAAATTCTATGGGGCTTGACAGGCTCATTCTAAAATTCATATGAAAGGAAGAATGCAGAGGAAAATTTGGGGAGAAAGGCGCATAGATGGGTTTGCCTTGCTACTATTAAACCATTCTGTAAAGCTACAATAATTAAAACAGTCTGGTAATAGTAATTGTAGAGGAAACAAATACATGTTTCCTACAAATCTACAGATGATATGTAGAGGAAACATGTATTTGGAAATGTAATATGTCATAAGGTAGAACTACAAATTAGTAAAGTATGCAAAGGTCAAGTGCCACAGAGAAAATTAGCCAATATTTGGATAAATTGGAGTTACAATCCTGCTAATGTAAATTGCAGTATCAAATTCATAAAAGTTAATTATCTGAATTTGTTATCCAAATAGTATCCAGTTAGATTTGAATTTAAGGGATTTTTTTTATTATTAGTTTTTTTTTATTAAGGTATCATTGATAAACACTCTTATGAAGGTTTCACAAAACAATGTGGTTTTCACATTCACCTTTATTATCAAGTCCCCCCCACATACCCCATTGCAGTCACTGTCCATCAGTGTAATAAGATGCCACAGAGTACCTACTTGTCTTCCTTCTGCTGCACTATCTTTTCTGTGAACCCCCACACACAATGTGCACTAATCATCATACCACACAAGCCCTTTCTCCCTCCCTCCCCAGTCCTTCCCTTTGGTAACAGCTAATCACTTCTTGGAGTCTGTGAGTCTGCTGCTATTTTGTTCCTTCAGTTTTGCTTTGTTGTTATACTCCACAAATGAGGGAAATCATTTGGTATTTGTCTTTCTCTGCCTGACTTATTTCACTGAGCATAATACTCTCTAGCTCCATCCATGTTGTTGCGCATGGTAGGATTTTCTTTCTTTCTTATGGCTGAATAGTATTCCGTTGTGTATATGTACCCCATCTTCTTTATCCACTTACCTACTGATGGACACTTAGGTTGCTTCCATATTGTGGCTATTGTAAATAGTGCTGCAATAAACTTACGGGTTCATATGTCTTTTTGAATCTGAGTTGTTTCTTTTGGGTAAATTGCTATGAGTGGAATTCCCAGGTCAAATGTTACTTCTATTTTTAGTTTTTGGAGGAACCTCCATACTGTTTTCCACAATGTGTGAACTAGTTTACATTCCCACCAGCAGTGTAGGAGGGTTCCCCTTTCTCTGCATCCTTGCCAGCATTTGTTGTTCCTAGACTTTTCTATGTTAGCCATCTTAACTGGTGTGAGGTGATATCTCATTGTGGTTTTAATTTGCATTTCCCTGATAATTAGCAATGTGGAGCATCTTTTTATGTGTCTGTGGGCCATCTGAATTTCTTCCTTGGAGAAATGTCTGTTCAAAGCCTCTGCCTATTTTTTAATAGGGTTATTTGCCTTTTGGGTGTTGAGGCATTTAAGTTCTTTATACATTTTGGATGTCAAACCCTTGTCAGATACGTCATTTACAAATACATTCTCCCATACTGATGGATGCTTTTTTGTGTCCTTTGCTATACAGAAGTTTTTTAGTTTGATGTAGTCCCATTTGTTCATTTTGGCTTTTGTTTCCCTTGCGCGAGGAGATTCCTTCAGGAAAAAGTTGCTCATGTTTATATTCGAGAGATTTTCACCTATGTTGTCTTCTAAGAGTTTTATGGTTTCATGACTTACATTCAGGTGTTGTGTCCATTTTGAGTTTACTTTTGTGTATGGGGTTAAACAGTGATCCAGTTTCATTCTCTTACATGTAGCTGTCCAGTTTTGCCAACACCAGCTGTTGAAGAGGCTGTCATTTCCCCATTGTATATCCATGGCTCCTTTATTGTATATTAATTGAACATTTGTGCTTGGGTTTATATCTGGGCTCTTTATTCTGTTCCACTGCTCTGTGGGTCTGTCGTGTGCCACTACCAAATTGTCTTGATTACTGTGGCTTTGTAGTAGGGCTTGAAGTCGGGGAACGTAATCCCCCCTGCTTTATTCTTCCTTCTCAAGATTGCTTTGGCTATTCGGGGTCTTTTGTGGTTCCATATGAATTTTAGAACTTTTTGCTCTAGTTTGTTGAAGAATGCTGTTGGTGTTTTGATAGGGATTGCATTGAATCTGTAGATTGCTTTAGGCAGGATGGCCATTTTGACAATATTAATTCTTCCTATCCATGAGCATGGGATGTGTTTCCATTTATTGGTATCTTCTTTAATTTCTCTCAAGAGTGTCTTATAGTTTTCAGGGTATAGGTCTTTCACTTCCTTCATAAGGTTTATTCCTAGGTATTTTATTCTTTTTGATGAAATTGTGAATGGAATTGTTTTCCTGATTTCTCTTTCTGGTAGTTCATCGTTAGTGTATAGAAGTGCAACAGATTTCTGTGTATCAAGTTTGTATCCTGCAACTTTGCTGAATTCAGATATTAGATCCAGTAGTTTTGGAGTGGATTTTTTTAGAGTTTTTAATGTACAATATCATGTCATCTGCAAATAGGGACAGTTTAACTGCTTCCTTGCCAATCTGGATGCCTTTATTTCTTTGTGTCATCAGATTGCCATGGCTAGGACCTCCAGAACTATGTTGAATAAAAGTGGGAGAGTGGGCATCCTTGCCTCGTTCCCAATCTTAAAAGGAAAGGCTTTCAGCTTCTTGCCTTTAAGGATGATTGTTGGCTGTGAGTTTGTCATATATTGTCTTTATTATGTTGAGGTACTTCCCCTCTGTACCCATTTTGTTGAGAGTTTTTATCATGAATGGATGTTGAATTATGTTGAATGCTTTTTCAGCATCTATGGAGATGATCCTGTGGTTTTTGTCCTTTGTTTTGTTGGTGTGGTGGGTGATGTTGATGGATTTTCGAATATTGTACTGTCCTTGCATCCCTGGGATGAATCCCACTTGGTCATAGTGTATGATCCTTTTGATGTATTTTCGAATTTGGTTTGCTAATATTTTGTTGAGTATTTTTGCAGCTATGTTCATTAGGAATATTGGTCTGTAATTTTCTATTTTTGTGGTATCTTTGCCTGGTTTGGTATTAGAGTGATGCTGGCTCATAGAATGAGTTTGGGAGTATTCCCTCCTCTTCTACTCTTTGAAAAACTTTAAGGAGGGTGGGTATTAGGTCTTCACTAAATGTCTGATAAAATTCAGCAGTGAAACCATCTGTGCCAGGCGTTTTGTTCTTAGGTAGTTTTCTGATTACCAGTTCAATTTCATTGCTGGTAATTGGTCTATTCAGATTTTCTGTTTGTTCCTGGGTCAGCCTTGGGAGGTTGTATTTTTCTAGAAAGTTGTCCGTTTCTTCTAGGTTATCCAGTTTGTTTTATATAATTTTTCTTCTCATTTCTGATTCTGTTTATGTGTGTAGACTCTCTTTTTTTCTTCTAAGTCTGGCAAGGGATTTATCTATTTTGTTTATTTTCTCAAAGAAACAGTTCCTGGTTTCATTAATTCTTTTTATTGTTTTATTCTTCTCAATCAATTTATGTGTTTCTTCTCTGATCTTTGTCATGTCCCTCCTAGTGACTGGGCCTCATTCGTTCTTCTTTTTCTAGTTTCATTAATTGTGCATTTAGACTGTTCATATGGGATTGTTCTTTCCTGAGGTAGGCCTGTATTGCAATATACTTCCCTCTTAGCACGGCTTTCACTGCATCCCACAGATTTTGCAGTGTTGAATTGTTGTCATTTGTCTCCGTATATTACTTGATCTCTGTTTTAATTTGGTCATGATCCATTGATTATTTAGGAGCATGTTGGTACGCCTCTGTGTGTTTGTGGGCTTTTTCGTTTTCTTTACATAATTTATTTCTAGTTTCATACATTTGTGGTCTAAGAAGCTGGTTGGTACAATTTCAATCTTTTTTAATTTACTGAGGCTCTCCTTGTGGCCTACTATATGATCTATTCTTGAAAATGTTCCATGTGCACTTGAGAAGAATGTGTATCCTGTTGCTTTTGGGTGTTGAGTTCTGTAGAAGTCTGTTAAGTCCATCTGTCCTAATGTGTTGTTCAGTGCCTCTGTCTCCTTACTTATTTTCTGTCTGGTTGATCTGTCATTTGGAGTGAGTGGTGTGTTGAAGTCTCCTAAAATGCATGCATTGCATTCTATTTCCCCCTTTAATTCTCTTAGTATTTGTTTCACTTATGTAGGTGCTCCTGTGTTGGGAGCATAGATATTTATAATGGTTATATCCTCTTGTTGGATTGACCCCTTTATCATTATATAGTGTCCTTCTTTGTCTCTTGTGACTTTCTTTGTTTTGAAGTCTATTTTGTGTGATACAGGTACTGCAACTCCTTTTTCCCCCTATTAGTTGCATGAAATATCTTTTTCCATCCCTTACTTTTAGTCTGTGTATGTCTTTGGGTTTGAAGTGAGACTCTTGTAGGCAGCATATAGTTGGGTCTTGCTTTTTTTATCCATTCAGTGTCTCTATGTCTTTTGATTGTTGCATTCAGTCCATTTATTTACATTTAGGGTGATTGTCGATAGGTATGTACTTATTGCTATTGTGGGCTTTAGATTCATGGTTTCCAAAGGTTCAAGGATAATTCCCTTACTATCTAACAGTCTAATGTAACTCACTTAGTATGCTATTACAAACACCATCTAAAGGTTATTATTATTATTTCCTCCTCTTTCCTCCTCCATTCTTTATATATTAGGTATCATGTTCTGATGTTCTGTACTCTTTGTCTATTCCTTGACTGACTTTACAGTAGTTGGTTTGATTTTGCATTTGCTTAGTAATTAATTGTTCTACTTTCTTTACTGTGGCTTTATTTTCTCTGGTGACAGTTATTTTGCCTTAGGAACACTTCCATCTAGAGCAGTTCCTCCAAAATACACTGTAGAGATTGTTTGTGGGAGGTAAATTCCCTCAATTTTTACTTATCTGTGAATTGTTTAACCCCTCCTTCAAATTTAAATGATTATCTTGCTGGGTAGAGTATTCTTGGTTCAAGGCCCATCTGTTTCATTGCATTGGATATATCATGCCACTCCCTTCTGGCCTTTTAAGTTTTCTGCTGAGAAGTCTGATGATAGATAGCCTGATGGGTTTTTCTTTGTATGTTCTCTTTTTTCTCTCTCTAGCTGCTTTTAAAAGTCTTTCCTTATCCTTGATCTTTGCCATCTTAATTATTGTATGTCTTGGTGCTGTCTCCCTTGTGTCCCTTGTGTTGGAGGATATGTGTATCTCCATGGCTTGAGAGACTAACACCTTCTCCAGATTGGGGAAGTTTTCAGCATTTACCACCTGAAAGGCACTTTCTATCCCTTTTTCTGTGTCTTCTTCTACTGGTACCTCTATAATGTGGATATTGTTCCATTTGGATTGGTCACACAGTTCTCTCAATATTCTTTCATTCTTAGAGGTCCTTTTTTCTCTCTGTACCTCAGCTTCTTTGTATTCCTCTTCTCTAATTTCCATTCCATTTACCATCTCTTCTACTACATCTAATCTGCTTTTAAATCCCTCCATTTTATGTTTCATTTCAGATACGGAATTTTTTAATGATTGAATCTCTGTCCTAAATTCTTCCCTTAGTTCTTGAATATTTTTCTGTACCTCCATGAGCATGTTTATGATTTTTATTTTGAACTCTTTTTCAGGAAGATTGATGAGTTCAGTTTCACTTGGCCTTTTTCTGGTGTTTTGGGGATTTTGGTTTGAACCAGGTTCCTTTGACATTTCATATTCGTATGTGGCACCCAGAAGCTAATGCCCAGAAGCTCTACTGTCTGGAGCTGCTCAGCCCCTGAAGTGATGTTGGGGGTTGCAGGGGAGCAGCCCTGGGGGGAGGAAAGAACTTCCCGGCTGCTGTGCCTGTTCCCACTGTCAGAACCAGTGGGCCGAGCACACAGGTGGAAGCCTCTGTGCTTTGCGTTTGTAGCTGCTGTAAGCGGGGCCTCCCTCTGGTTGGCCTGATGCTGGGGCAGGGACTGCGGTTTGCGAACTGGTGCCATCAGTTCAGGAGGAAGGCTCAGCAGGCTGCCTTTCTCAGTGGGGGGCCTCGGAACTGAGTAGTCAGCCAGCAGGATGGAGTCCCTGAAGCTCCTGAGAGTTCCCAACCTGCTGGGCAGAGTGCACCTGGACAGTTTTGTCCACCTATACTTTCTCCTGAGCAGCAAGCTCTGTGCAATCCTTGCCTTTTTAGCAGCCCTCTCACTGTTAGGAAGTCTCGGACTGCCTGCCTTTCTTTTGTCCCAGAGCAGCTAGATATGGATCCCTGTTCTCCACAAGTGGCTGGAATCTCAGTCTCCAAGTAGTCCACCTGTCTTAGCTTTCCAACCCCACTAATCTCTAGAGCACCATGCAATGTAGGTTCGTGCTCCCAAAGCAGATCTCCAGGGCTGGGTGTTCAGCAGTCGTAGTTTTCCACCCACTCCCTGCTCCATTTCTCTTCCTCCCGTCAGTGAGCTGGGGTGGGGGAAGGGCTTGGGTCCTGCCGGATCACAGCTTTGGTACATCACCCTGTTTCCTGAGGTCTGCTCTTTTCTCCAGGTGTATGCAGTTTGGCACAGCCTTATTTCCTGTTGCTCTTTTAGGATTAGTTGTATTAACTATATTTTCATATTATATGTGGTTTTGGGAGGATGTCTGTCTCACCTCTCACGCCGCCATCTTCAATCCTCTCTTAAGGTGTATTTTTATTTATCTGAATGATGAAGAGTTTCCTATGTAAGACAAAATTCATAAGCCATAGAAGAAAAAAGTGGATGTTTTTTATTACATCAGAATTTAACACAACATGTCCATTTGATATAGCAATCTAAATAAAAGTTAATGATTCTGTTTTCTAATGGATCCTTAGATTATATGGTAGGAAAACATGTTTTCTGTGATTACTTGTTCTTAAAGATTTTTATTTTTTAATTTCTGTCTTACAGATCAAGGTGCAACAAAATCCGTTTTTAGTTTCTTGAACAACCGTTCCTCTAATCCAAATACACCAACCACTTCAGCAGGTGGTGGCCTATTTGGCGGCTCCACCTCATCCTCCAGTGCCCCTGTGGCTGCCTTTGTGTTTGGCCAGGCCGGCAGTCTTGGGAGCAGCTCTGCCTTCGGCAGCCCTGCTGAAGCCAGTGCATCTCAGCCTTTGCTCTTTTCTCAGGAGAGCAAACCAGTGGTCACGAGCAGCACCGGGGCAGCCGTCAGCCCCTTCGTCTTTGGCCCGGGGGCCGGTGGGAGTGCTGCTGCGGCCGCTGGTTTCAACTTCGGAGGCACAGCCACGACCAGCACGGCAGGTGTGTCTGAAAAGAAAGACGTACATGAGGTGGTTGGATTGGCTTTAATTATATCTACTCTTAGCAAGTAAAGAGAGCAGGTTGTTGCAGACAGCATGGATGCCTGTAGGTTATCTCTGCCTGGGTATCGCAATGATTCTCTGTGGGGAATAACAGACATTTTGTGTTCAAGTTTAATGAACTCCTTGGAGGCAGCTTTTAAAATCTCAGTAAGACTGTGATCTTTAGTTTTTCCAAGTGTTCTTTTTGAAATGTTGAAAGGAACCAGGCACAGAACTATTTTGTAGACCTTAGTCTTCATTATGCAGTAGATACAGGATTACGTCTGCTGATTTCTGCAGCGTGTGACATTTTCTGATGAGAGAGTGTCTCTCTTCTTACTGTATCTCTTTTCCAAAAAATTATTGGTTGCAAAGGTGGGAGTCTTGTTAACAGAAGTTTTTGTTTATGTAGATTCTATATAGTTATACTGTATAATGATAGAATAGTATTCTTTATCATTCAAAACTTGTCTTGGTGGGATTTGTTCAGCAAGGCAAGAGTCTGGAAAGAAGCTTGAGACTTGCTTTTGAGTTACATTTTTTGGGATGGTCTTTCTTCTGTGATTGTGATTTAAGTGTTTGCTTGGGCCTCCAGGATCCTCCTTTGTATTTGGCACTGGAACTTCAGTGCTGTCCTCCAGTCCAGCGTTTGGTGCTAACCAGACCCCAACGTTTGGACAGAGTCAAGGTGCCAGCCAGCCCAACCCCTCAGGCTTTGGATCCATACCATCTTCAGCAGCACTATTTTCTGCTGGTTCTCAGCCTGTTCCAACTGCTTTTGGGACAGTGTCAGGCAGTAGCCAGCCTCCTGTGTTTGGACAGCAGCCCAGCCAGCCTGGGTTCGGCTCTTCAGCAGCCCCGAACTCTGGTAAGTGAGCCGGTGCAGTTGTGCTGTACTTAGGTTCTGTGTGTCGTAAGTAGAATTTCATGCTTTGAACTTTGAAACTATGTATTTGTCTTAGTTTTCCACCTTGGCTCTTCTACTTGGCAGTATAGAGAGAGCTGACCTATAAACAGCACTCCACCCTTAACAACTATTAAGCACTTTTAAGGTATTAAATTGTTTGATTAAGATAAAATGTCTTACACTTTGATTTAGGTGCTGGATTCAGTTAGTCCCATTTCTCCCCAATCTAGCCTAGATTTCAACTGGATTTTCTAATCCTCTTGATGACCAGGTTCATTTCAGGAAGTTACATCTCAGCCCCACTGTTCCTTCCGGGACAGTCCAGCCAAGTTGTTTCACAACACTTTCTGTTTGATGATACTCGCCTTTTCACTTCCATATTTAAACAGATATTTCTGTGGTTTTTAAAATACGGCTAATCACAGTGTATTATAATGACAGTTCCTCAAAATTACACTGTATATATATATTTTTTAAAATTTTATTTTGGTATTATTAATCTACAATTACATGAAGGACACATTTACTAGGCTCCCCCTTCACCAAGTCCCCCCCACATCCTCGTTCACAGTCACTGTCCATAAACATAGTAAGATGCTGTAAAATCACTACTTGTCTTCTCTGTGTTGCACAGCCCTCCCTTTGCCCCCCCCACCCACACTATACATGCTAATCGTAAGGCCCCCTTTCTTTTTTTCCCGCCCTTATCCCTCCCTTCTCACCTTTCCTACCCAGTCCCTTTCCCTTTGGTAACTATTAGTCCATTCTTGGGTTCTATGATTCTGCTGCTGTTTTGTTCCTTCAGTTTTCTTTTGTTCTTATACTCCACATATGAGTGAAATCATTTGGTACTTGTCTTTCTCCGCCTGGCTTATTTCACTGAGCATAATACCCTCTAGCTCCATCCATGTTGTTGCAAATGGTAGGATTGGTTTTCTTCTTATGGCTAAATAATATTTCATTGTGTATATGTTCCACATCTTCTTTATCCATTCATCTACTGATGGACACTTAGGTTGCTTCCATATCTTGGCTATTGTAAATATACACTGTATATTTTTGAATTGTGAAAACATAGCCTCATGCAGAAAAACATGAAACATACATGAATAGTATAATGTTGAGACAAACACTTGTTTAGCCACTACTCAGGAGCCCCTTCTGTATCCCTTTTTGATCACCTTCCTTTCTACTTTCCTTTCTCTAATGTTGTCTTGACTGTTGTAGTAACCTTTTTTCTTGGTTTTTACTTGAAGTTAGCTATAGATACATATATCTCTAGAAAATAGTGTTTTGCCTGTTATTTAACCGTGCAGTGGACTTGTACTGTATTCAGTCTTTTGATTCTTGCTTCTTGTACTCTTATTTGTAAGGTTCATCCGTGTTACTATGTAGTTTGATCATTTTCACTGCTGTAGCATAAATCACATTGGGGGTGTACCATGATTTATCCATCTAGTGCTGAGTGTTTGTCTTCTAGCTGTTAGGAAATGCAGTTCTGCACTTCCATGTGTGTGCCTGGAGCACACTATGCATGTTCTCCCAGGGCCTATACCTGGGAGAGGCATCACCGAACTAAAAGGTCTGTGTACATTCTTTACATGATCATGGCTTTAGAAGATTAGGTAAACTTTCCTTGACAGATTATTGCTAGTTCACATCCTACCAGCATAAGTTTTTTGGGCCATTTTTATGTTTGCTTGTTCTACTTTTCTTGCTGGTCTGTAGTAGCTCTTCATGTGTTCTGGGTGTTAGTACTTTGTTTGAACATATAGGAAATTTTTCCCTGTTTTGTGGCACATATTAACTGTTTTAATCCAGAGTTAATCAATCTCCACCTTCCCCATCCCCAGTGTGAAATTGGAGAATTTAGCTTTCATTCACACACGGAGCATTTCCCTTTCAGTATTTTGAGGATGCAGATGCTGTTTGATGTATTGTGAGTTTTTTTCTATGCAAAATTTTGTTTTTTCTAGTATCATTGATTCTCCTTTATCCTTGTCACTACTACTAATTGTAAGTCTCCCTGTTGTATAGATTTCTTGATATTTTCAAATACATTGGCTGTTTCTCAGTAGCTAAAAGAAATTTCTCAGTATCTTCTCATCTGCTCCCACCACCAGCCTTTGCAGACCTGTGGTCCTGGGGATTTTTCATTCTCTGGACACTTGGGTTTCCTCTTAAAGGAACCTGTTTCCTGGGTGTCACGTTGCCTTCCTTGTTTCCATGCTTTATAGAGCAGATAAGTCCCCCCACCCCCATGATTTCTTAAGGTCTTCAGGGAAGGAAATTTTGAGGCCTCCCATTTTTGCAAAGATCTTTATTCTGCCCCTGTGTTTGGTAAGATTCTGGTTAAATTTAGATTTAGTTTGGAAATGGTTTTTCATAATTTTGAAAGCATTTCTCCATTGTGGACTTTTCAAGTCTTTCTTGACCATTCCCTTTTCCCTGTCTCCTTTTTTCTGGAGTCCCACGGGAGTCTGTCTTTTGCCTACCATGTTTTGACTTTTCAGGATGGTGACCTTGGTCTGGATCCATTGTTTACACTTGATTGTGTAAGGAATTTCGTCTGTCCTGTGGTGAACTTCCATTCTTGGGAATTTCCTTGCATTATTTTTTTGAAGATTCTGTGCTTCATTCTTTTTTAACTTCTTGACCTCTTTTTTTTCCACTTTTTGTTATACTTCATGGATAGATTTCTTTAGTTTATCTTTTTTACCACCTCTTCTGCTAAGATTATACTTTTTCTGCTAGTGTTACTTTTTAATTTCCAAGTGTTCTTTTTTGTTTGTTTCAGAAGTATTATCTGCTGATCTCTTTAATGAGGTATTTATTTTTCTTTAAGCTTTTTCTTAACCAGTTTTCTCCAAATTGCTTTTTTTGGTTTTAGTTCTTCTTATGAAATACTTTCCTTCTTGGCTATCTACTTACAGTTTTTTGGTATGTTTTTATTGTAGTAAAAGATCTAACATGATATCTGCCCTTCCATCAAATTAAGTGTACAATACAGTATTATGAACTATAGGCACAGTGTTGTACAGCAGATCTCTAAAACTTAGTTACCTTGCTCAACTGAAACTTGATACCCATTGACTAGCAACTCCCCATTTCCTCCTCTCCCCCCACCCCATTCTTCTCTAGGCCTCTCTGAGTTTGGCTGTTTTAGATGCCACCTATAAAGGGGGTCATGCAGTCTTGGCCTTCTGTGACTGGCTTATTTCACTTAGCATAATGTCCTTCAGATTCATTCATGTTTTTGCATATTGCAAGATTTGTTTTCTTTAAGTCTGAATAATATTCCATTGTATGTATACACATGATTTTCTTTATTCGTCTGGCAGTGGACATTCAGGTTGTTCCTACATCTTGGCTTATGTGAATAATGTTTCAGTGAACATGAGAGTCCAAATATTTCTTCAAGAACTAATTTCACATCTTTTGGATAATACCCAGAAGTGGGATTGCTGGATCCTATGAGAGCCTATTTTTAATTTTTTGAGGACCCTCTGTACTGCCTTCCGCAGTGGCTGCTCCAGCCCCATTCCTGTCAGCAATGTGCCAGGCCCCCTTTTCTCCACATCCTCCGGCACTTGTTCCCTCCTGTCTTTTGGATAGTGGCCATTCTGTGTGATGTTGCCCAGTACAGAGACTTTTCCAGAGGCTAAAGCTGGTCCTCTGCCCGGGTAGGGGAGGAGTATGACCATCTTGTTTGGTATTGGGGTGGGTATCTGCTTCTTAAAGAGACGTCTGTCACCATCCTTTCTCAGGGGTACATTCACGCCCTGAGGCCCCAGAACCAAGGCCCATGGGCGTGTTCAGTATCAACAGGTTTCCTTGCTGCTTTCCTAGCTGCTTCTGGGCTCCAGTCAGCTTCCCAGGGTTTAAACTTTGTTGCCATTGTTTCCTCTCCCCCATCTTTGTAAAAACTCCTTTACTGTTACTTTAATGTAATTTCTGAAGAAGACAGAGCTGAATGTGTTTGTTGATTCCACTGTCTTTAACCTGAAGTCCATCCTGCCCTTCTTCCTTGGTAGCTGGTGAGTTAGGACACCTGTTGAGGGTGTCCAGTTTATGTTCTGTATGTCATCGGAGAAAATGCTTAGTTAAAATTTTCTTTAAATTAAGTAACCATAAGAGAGCTTAACCCTCTCCATATTTTTGTATGTAAAGGTCAGAGTCATTATAGGAAAACTACCATTTTTACCTTAATGGAGTTTTTCTGCTTCAACTCTTGCAGGTTCAGTTTTCCAGTTTGGCAGCAGTGCTGCAAATTTCAGCTTCACGAACAACAGTCCCTCAGGAGTGTTCACATTCGGTGCAGACCCTGGCACTGCTGCCGCCTCAGCCCGGCCTTCTGGCTCAGGGGGCTTTCCATTCAGCCAGGCGCCTGCAGCCTTTATGGCAGGGTAAGAGAGCTTCTTGTTGAGCAGAAGGTGTTACGTGGTGTAGGGGCGCCTGCATGTGCATATATTTTGTGGTAAGGTCACCAAGGTGCAGGATAGTTCAGGTGAAATGATGTTCTCCAACATTACTTTGCCGCACGAGAAGTTTGGAAGATTGTGGCCTGCATGAAAGAAGAGTGTGGGTGTGTGCGTGCACACGTGACACGACAGAAATGTGTTTGACTATGTCTTTTCCCCTTGCCGCTGGTCTCATGTAGTGTCACTGTGATTCTGGAGTTTTGTCTGAGCAGCACATCACATGAAGGTTTTTGTCTTTCACAGGTCAAATGGGAAAAATATGTTCTCTGCTTCTTCTGGAACTTCAGTTTCTGGTCGCAAAATAAAGACCGCTGTTAGACGCAGGAAATAAAGGTCACAGCGATGTCACACACAGCAGGGTCTCCCACAGCAGGTGCCCTGGTTCAGATGTGCTGGGGTCACCTGCAGTCAGCTCGGCCTAAGAATGTCTTTTGTGTGGGATTTTCCTTTTTCTTCCCCTACAGAGGCCCTACCCTCATCTTTCCCTTTCACTTTTTAAAAAATAATAGCTAGACTTGTGACTGGTTCTTCAGCAACAATATTTTATGATCCAGCAAATTATTCACTGATTTGACATTGGCTGGCTGACCCCAGGAATAGAGCCTCCTCGGCAAGTGACTTGTATAGAACCTCTTGCACCACTGTGTGCATTGAATATGCGTTTATGGGACGCGTTGAAATTGTAATTATATCTGAGGAGTTCTGTATAGATTAGAGGATGTTAAAATGAACGATTTCGATGCTGGGTCCATGCTGGTGTGTGCGTGCAATGAGCTGGCCGTGCTGTGCTCTGAGATGCTCTGCTAGAGGAGGCTTGATGAAAGGGTGGTCATGCCATGGACATGGTAGACCTAGTTTTCCATGTAATGATTAAATGCTATTTCTGTATTTTCACTCTGTCACCTGTCTTGCCTTTTCATTATTTTATTGTGAGACTTGTGTAAATACAATTTTGTTTCTATACTTTTTTGGCATAACATAAATCTGTGAACTTGAAATTTTAATTTTGTGTTAGAGATTTTTGTTGTTGTTTAGTCTTGTCTCAGATTTTATTATGTAAATCCCATTATTCAAAGTTGCCTAAATCCATTTGGAAATCTTTAAAAAAAGAAATTGGGGATTCTTAAAGTGAATTTATTGGCTTTTCTGATCCAGTTTTGTTTGGACCAAAAACCAGTATTGTACAAAGTATTAAACATATATTTTTATATTTACTGAAATGGACTGTGGTGACTTTGGATAATAAGGAAATGTTTAATATTAAAGCCATGTTTATTACAGTATAATTAACATGTTAAAACATGGGATAAATGCCATCAATAAAAAATTGTGAAATACTTTTTGTTCTAGTGTTAACTCATAATGAAGGTACGAGTGTTAGTGGAAGAGAACCTTTTTGTAAAGGTTAATTAACAATTGTCAGAGAAATTCCAAAGAGTACATTTAAGTGATTTGGACAACTCCTAAGTGAAGGGCAAGGTGTCTGGATTTGTTTGAATATAGAAGGTACTTCTTGTCTGGGGCTAGGAATCACGCCTACTTTGAATATAAACTGACCTTCCTTTTTAAAGTTGAAAATAAACACACACAACTGTTTGTATCTTCCTTGATAGGTGTCTAGCCCATTTCTTGATCAGGTTCTTAGTTCATGCCCAAAGCAGCCCACAGTGTTCTGTGTAGTTTCTCTTGGATTATTTTACTGAATTTTTTTAACTATATTTCTTTTCTGTAGTCCATAAAAGCTCTGAGACAGCATTTGCTAATTTTATTCTTCATTTTGAAACCACAGTTAACTTTGGGCTTGTGTTTTGCTGAACTTATGGTTGGAGTCTAAATTCAGAACTTGAAAATGTTTAAGAGCTTTTTGTTTTTCCAGTGAAAAAGTATTTGTCTTACTGAATTATCACAGGCTATCAAAGTGCTGGTTTGGGGGTAGAAATTTTGTATTTGGAGCAGATGATGATGAATGCTGAAAGAGGTAAACTGGAATTCTGTGGTTTTAATGCCAAGAAGTTGGGTGCCCAGCTAAGCAGCAGGTTTGTTTTTTCACCCATTTGCTAGGCACCTGTGAATAGAAATATTCGGCTTTCTACTCTAGGAAAGATTTTTTGTAAGAAATGTGCCAAAAATAATGTTTCCTTGTATTTTATATGTTGTTTTTAAACAAGTGACTGAAAACTGTACTTAGGATGGCTTGTCTTAATCAAATCTTGTGGCCTCTTGAACTGGATACTTGGGACGTGTGTTTTCCGTCTTTACTGCCGTGACGCCCGGGCCCCACGCAGCAGCCCTGGACTGCATTCATAGTGGCAGCCCCGCCCCACAACCGGCCCTGTGGGCTGAGGGGACTCATCAGGTTGGCTCAGGTTACAGGAGGGCCTCTGACTCCCCGGTACTAGCCTAGGGCAGGCGTTTCACGGGCACTTCCTGAATCGAGTGAACGTGGAGGGATTGCTCACGGCAAGTGCCTCTTCAGCAGACGCCTGGTGCACCGGGTCCAGGCGGGCCACTTCCAAGTGCTGGGTGGTTTTGAGTGATTAATGATCTCAGGCATAAAGTATGACTCAGACAATTGAAAAAATGTCTTTAAGCCTAGCTGCTTGTTGCAAATTCTCTCCTGAAATTGTTCACGTAATAAGGACAAATTGAAATAAAAGCATTGGACTAATTTTAACAATTTGTAACCAGGCTGTTAACTTCCTGGTTTAGCCTGGGAAGAACTCGTGTTTGCTTTGTGTAAGTGTGTCATTTCCTAGGCCTGTTTTAACATTTGAAACTCAAGGGAAATTTTACAAAGGTCAGCCTGTGTGTGTACTGGAAACTGGCAAATTTGGTATAGTGAAATTGAGAAAATGGGTGTGTTGGGTGTAGCCACACATACCAGGTGTGTGGCCATGTTGAGTCATTTCCTTGTAATTGGGGCAACTTTTATAAACTCCCTTAGAAGTCCACTGTAGTTTCAGAATGTAGTCTGTGCCTGGACTCCTCACAGCACACTGTCTACATGTACATGTAGGACTCAGACCAGGCCATGGTTAAGCCACATTGACATTTATCCTTTATTATCTTTGTACTTACCTGTTCTTTCATATCCTGTTCTCTTGTGTGTTTATAAAGGTTAGAATAGGAAATGCTAGATCAGAAGGTCTAAATTTAGCCCCAAGCTCTGTCATTTACTATGAGACTTCGAACTTCTGGCTCCTTATGTGTTGACATGGGTCCTTGATGGCATGGTGTCTGGGACCGCTAACAACTTTAAGAACAGGATTAGTCATCAACACTTGAGTGACTTGCTGAGAAGAATGTACCCCTAAATGGATCTTTCCGTAGGCCTCTGAAAGCACCCCAGTTGACTGCTGTTGGTTGCCATTCTCCTGAAGGCAGGTTATGCCAGAAAACTATTTGGAAGCAAGGTCTGCCCCTGCAGCAGGAGACTGTGGAGCAAACCTCAAAGAAAGAGGCAAAATACAGAAGCTTTGGTGACCAAGTATTTATTGAGGCAAAATACACATTGGTGGCATACAAATTATTAAAAATAGAATGCCGAATTTTATTTATAGTGTCACTGGAATAACTGTAAGGAAATAGACATACAGTCTGAAGTGAGGAACTCACCCAGGCAAACACATATTGTAAATATTTTGGCCTTTGGTATAGGGGATAAGGAATGATGATGGGTGGTTGATACTTGTCAAATTTTAGGAATACTGCTGTTAATTTAGGTATAGTCCTCAAAAGAAACACTAGCCTATTTTAATAGTAATGTACAGTGAAAATGTTAATGACCCCAATCTCCCTCAAAAAAAGCCCTTTATTCCCAAGTAGCAAGTAATTTAACTCCTTTCTACCTTCACTTTGCTGGAAATACTTAGGCGTAAGTGCAACTCCCAAAAAAAGTCACTTAAAGGAACAAATCCTTCTTTAGTGTTAAACCAACGGCATCATTTGAAACAACACTGAAGACTCATTTTTATAATATATTAGACAAGGCTGCTCTAAAATATTATGCATTTTTTTCAATCCTAAGTATTTAGGTGAAACTGGAAGGCAAATGTTTACATAGAAAAAAGTAACTTCTAAACCAGTGCTACACAAGTATCAGTTGGGCAATATTTTAAAGTAAAGGCTTACTGTCCAAGGAGTGTCGGCTTTATTTCCATAGTCACAGATAAAAGCACTCACCTCCCCAGGCCCAGCGCGACCAGACCTCCCAAGGTGCGCCAGCAGTACTGGTCGTACCGAGGGCTGAGGCCTAGAGGCCGCAGTTACCTGCCTCTCTGCAGTTATTTTAGCGCCTACCTGTTCACTGAAACAGTATTCTTCCTCAGTTTGGCTCCTGATTTTTGTTCCCTTATTATTTGTCTTGTAAAGTGAATAATGTTTGTACTATGAAGACACCTTTCTTTTTGCCTTTGTAGGCTAGAGCTTCAGCATGAGAATTATACTTTTTGACCCAGAACGCCAGCGTTTTTATAAATGATATCTATTGAATAGAAAAGTGTTTTTGAAAAGAGGTGGACTCCACCTGCCCACAACCCTGGGAGAAAAAAGTGTGGCTCTCCTTTCCTCCCCGTTATTTAGTCATTTTTTCCAGTGATTTGGGAATCAGAAATGCTGAATTCTCTTCCTAAGTGCTACTTCTATTCATAAATAGAAACAGACGTGGATTCTGTCGTAAAGGCAGACAAAGAGCAGCACATTTACTTCACAGGGGTACATAGCATGGCTGGAATCCTGAGGCGGCTCTGAATGAACTTTTTTACATAGAATCTGAATGGCTGTGAATGGCAACTGTGCAATACTTTTAAGTATAACAAACTAATCTGGACTGTTCACTTTCTACTGCATTAAATAAAAATACAGCCCAGATGGGGAACCACTAGATTATCTGAGTAAATTACACATCAAAGATACACTTCAGAGCTATGTGACTGCCAGACATTTCAACTTGGGATTTCCATGCAGAGGTAAAAGTAGTGATTACACCAAGTGGTAAGTTTATATAACAATTCCAAATTTCTGGTCTAATAAAAAAGTGTTTTCCTGTGAAAGGGTCCTAACACTCATCTTCCCAGAGGCCACAACTGAATGTTCTGTTTAGTACTTTGACACGCTTAATATGCTTTCTGTGCTATTGGATTTTTAAGTTATTTTGAAAAACATAGTTTATGGAATTTTACAATAAAAAGGGTATTAATAAAGACAGTTGAGGTTTCTATAACATCAAATGTGAATATTTTAAATTTTCAAGTAAAAAACTCACTTTAAAAATTGGTAGAGATAATAGATGTGTCTTAACATTTGCTGTTTAAAGACCAAAAGCAAAGCCTATATTGTTCCTTTAAGCAATGTAATTATGAACTGTCCGATACAAGTTAGTGTTTTCTGGGAAAATATCAGAGTTGGAGAAAATGCCTAAGAAATAAATAAAACTTTTGGTCAGGTATATTTCAACACAGTTATCTGGACCACTGAGCAAAAGCGCACACACAACACTCCACAACTTGGCTTCAATAGAAGAATAAATTACAATGGCAGCACACAAGCACTCTGCTTAACGCTCCCTCAAAGCCTCATCCCAGGCACGCCCCAGAAGAGCTGCTGGCCCACAGAACCAAAAAACTTCGGATAATGTCTGGAAAACTCTTCCTTGTTTTAGAGAGAACATCTCATGAGAAAACTGATATTTCACAGGCTACTAGTATTTAATCATGAAATAAATACTATGGTTATTTAACTCCTTCGTGTCTGAAAAGTTACAGAACTATATAAAATGTAAAAGGAAACTGGTTTGTGATCGTCCTGTGTATAAAGAAGCTCTCAGAACAATGAAAAGCACTTCAATACTTCTTTCATGCTGCAAACTTACTGGGAATAATTGACAGTAAATATGCAACGGTCTGGTGGCAGTAATTTTTCCCCAGGTTTACTTTGATTTAGGGCACTGAAAAACACCTTGTACATGAATTTTAAGTTAAATTCACACTAAAAACTTACTCCCTCCATTAGAAGCAATCACTAACTTGCCTTTTCTTTTAAAAAAAATCAATGATAATATAGCAATATGACTTAATACTTTTTATCATGCAAAACTTGTCCCAAAGTACATGTTTAAGCATTAAGAGTACTTCTAAAGTCACATTCCTGCAGTACAGGTGCTAAAACTTCAGGGGAGGGAACTGCTAGGCCTCCTGCACTGGCCCCTTTCTCTCTGTAGCTCACTCACTACCTCCTGGGACAGGAGGAAAATGGATTAGCACACTTGTCTCCCTAGCCCTCCCTGCAAAAAAGCAAAGAACAATTTCCGAGGAGATGAATAATGTGTTTACAAAACACAATTGGACATTTTCCATCATTTTGGGATAAACCAAAATAAAGTTTCATTTGTAAATTCCAAAGCTGAAAATACTTTTGGCAAATTCTAACGTCTTAATTCTTGGGAAAGTATATATTGTCCATTGTTGATTATGAAACCACTTGCCTTCTTTTCGATCTAAAAATTTTAACACTTGAATTTAACAGATTTTTCTTCTGCAAAAGTTCTTTGGCATTCAAGTAAAATCAATACTTTCAGAATAGTCACCTTCATCACTGGAGTAACTGCTTTAATTCCTAAATCATTAGTTAATGTAACCCAGGGATACTGATGGCCTTGATAATTTAGTCTTGTCTTTATTCCAGAGAGTATGGAATTCAGGGCTTTTTCTGGACATCATCTGACCCCATTTCTTTTTACCACAATGGTTCCTGCTACAATGTCATATGCTGTTCGATTATGCTGAAAGAACAGCAGTGTGATGAAAGCAGGGAAAAAAGAAGCAATAGAAAAATTCTTGATCAGAGCACGTATAGTGGACCTAAAAAATTAAGGCAAAAAAATCAGGTAAGCTATTATACCGACCATGTACAGATGAATAGTATTCTATCAAGTTTAAAATACGTATTTAATTGTATTATGTGTATTTAATATACTAAGTATGTATATAGTCAAAGGATACTTGAGAGAATTTTTCCTTTGATATCTGAGTTACTATCAAGTAGCGTTAAACCACCTAGACTAGTTCTAAAGACTTAATCTACATAAAGGCAAGACTAGAACCTTCACATAAAAAGTAATAAATATGTCTTAGAAGGCAAACTAAAGGCTACAGAATTTTCCTTCATTTTGCCAGAAGAAGAGAAGTCCCTCGTGCCTGTGTGGTCTTAGGATCTCTCAACTGTGTGTGCTTACTGCAGACCCACTTCTGACTTCTGGGAAGCAGGAGCATTTTAAGTTACTATGTATTTGTTTATCAGCTCTCTTCTTTCTTTGTGGGATCCTGTGATTAAAGGAGCTTTAAAAAGCTTTCAGTAATAGCTCAGAATGGGTAAGTATCCTACAAATGTTAGGTGTCCGCCTTTGAGGGCACTGAAGGCTCCGGTCAAGCACAGTGGCTGAGAGTGTGAGCTCTGACTCCAGACCCGCTGGCCTCAGGCCCATTTTCTAATGGACTAATTGTGTCCCACATCCACAAAAAGGGGATAATCGTACCTAAAGTACCTTATCTTATAAGATTGTTCAGATTTAACTAGTTAATACATATGTAGTGTTTTAAACAAATCCTAGAATATAAGAGGTGCTCAATAAACATGATCAACTCTCACTGTAAGTAGTAGTAACCAGGATTATTATCACAAAACTAAGGAAATTTTGAGGATGGCAACACAATCTAGGCTTCCAGTCTCTTGCTCCTATTTCTTTTATATAACAGTCCAGCTCTGAATCACTCTGGCAGCATTCCAGCTACTATGGTACTTGGCTTAACTGACTGCCACCTACTCATGTCTCCCCAACTCCATTATTACTGTTTGTACCTTCCCCGAGCCAGATGCCAGCAGCTAGCCATGAATACTGTAGATATTACAAGCTCCATCACTTAAGAACAGGGGCAGGATGTATGTGCACAGCTGTTAAATCCGTATGGCCTGTCTGCCATGGGATAATGCAGGTCAAATGGAGGCTCAAGGCAGATCGGTGACTGACCCAGTCCCCACAGGCCTGGCGCACTGACCGGGACAGCGCCAGCACCCTAGCAGCTCCCCTTCCTGGGACCTAGATTTCACATGGTGATTATTTTGCAAGTGTACACTGAAGAGGAGTCCACAATCATGTAGCGATTAAAAAACACTCATAAACTTCATTTTAAACTTAGTAAATGTACGCCTATTATATCCCATGTCAAATAGTATAACTTATGAATTATATTGATTACTATCATTAAAACTGATTCTTTTCTTTTCATAAGTACATAGTAGATTAAGGCAAGAAAAGCACTCACGTCGTGATGCTAACGTTTGAGGAAGGAATCACCAACACCCGACTTGGCGCAATGAGCACGGATGTATCACACGTCACAACCCGAAGCCCCAGCAGGAACTTCCCCGGCGTTGCTCCACCGGCTCCCCAGATGCAAATTATCTAAGGAAAGGGTGACAATTTAAAAGTATTTGATAGCTAAACTATGTCAACTTTAAAGAAAGGTTTGCCTTTATAGAAAACTAAAGGTTACATTCTAATGCTTTTCTGTAGGCCTCTCACATCTCCTATCCCATAAAATCTCTAATTTGGTATTTCTTAATGACCCATTATATTTTTCAGCGAGTCATTTGTATGGAAAAATACATGTCAAGTTTCACAACTAACTCAAAAATATCAATTGTAAAATGTCTCCACTCAGAAAGTGGTTTGTCTTGACTTGAACAAAAAAATTAAAATTTGGAAAAAAAAAAACAGAAAAGGAGACTGTAGACACACACATGAAAAATTTTAAATTTCCATTACATTTTTGTCTTGGCCTGATAATCTAGACTATTAAATATTAATATTTGCTGAAGTGAACAGCTTACCTCATAGAAACAAACCAATAATCTGTATATAAGAGCCACAACCATCATTTTCTGCAAGTCTTCCATTGATGTGTCTTCATCTATTTCTTCTATTATATAATGCATAGCAAACTTAGAGATATCCCTACATAAAATGATAATTTTGGATTATAAACAATGTTACCTAGAGTAGTTGCACTGATTTTTTTTCATTAGTCTAAGTCAAGCTTTAATTAAAACTCTAATCTTTATGTTTCCAACCATCTAGTTTCACAAAACATTTATTAGCTTATTCAACAAATAAACACTATCATGAAGGCACTGTACTAGCCCTGGGGATACAATGGTGAGTGAATTCAACATGGTCTCTGCTTTCATGGAAATTCTAACCTAGAGGGAAAGCAGAATAATTAAATCATAATAAACTGGGATGAGGGCTATGGTAGTGAACAATAGGGTATGACAGAAACATATACCAGGTACATTAAGTGAATGAAGGCTTCCCAGAAACATATTTCAGCTGAGATCTGAAGGATGAAAACAAGTCGGCCAGATTAAGAAGGGGGAAGTCTCAGAGGGGGGGGGTTAACAAGACAGACCCAGTGTCATGTGGGCTGTAAGCACTTGGGTATGGAACAAACATTAGGCTGAGAGGTGATAGTGATGAAGAAATAGGGGTACCTGTTAAACTACATTAAGACAAGACTTGCTATCCTGATGGCAATGAGAAACCACTGGCGCATGTTAAGGTAGGAGAGGGGCAGAATCAGAATATAAGGTCTCTTTGGTTTTATGTCAGAGATTGGATTGAGATTAAAGAGAAGACAGGTAACTGAGGTACTGCTTAGAAGACTTTTGCTATGATCCAGACAAGATACAACAGTAACTGGATTAGGGAGAAGCCGTGAAGATGAAAAATGGTCTGACCCTGAAGAAGCAATGGTCTGGGCTGAAGGCTATTTAGGAGACTGAACAGAAAGAACTTGGCCTGACGGGAAAGAGGCAGGAGAGGAAGGGAGAGACAGTGAAGAGTCACGGCAAAGCTCAGGCTCCAGGCAAGGACCCCGAGATTTGACTATAAGGATATACTGACTCTGTCACTCAGTACTTTTGTAATTTTGTAAATTCTGGACTAAAGTTCTTGTAAGCCCAAATTTCAATTTCTATAAAATAGTGGTGGTAAAATTAAATAAGAATCTGTATAAAGAGGTGAGCTCAATGCCTAGCATGTAGAAAGTGCTTAGCAATGGTAATGATTAAAATAATTAATCTGAAAGGATTATTTGAATAAATGACTCCCTCTGTTCACCTGGGACTTGCCTGACAATATAAGCAACCTCATTTAAAACTGGCATTTACCTATTAAAGTTTATCTACCAAAAGCATCTGAAGGCTTTGTCTTTAGGTACTCTACCCTGAACAGGATACTAGGAGGGAAATTACTTCACAGCCTAAGAAAATAGTTGAATAAAATCAAAACAGGTTTAGAGGCTCCTTTTATCTACTTGTTACGTCAGATTTCCACAGATCTCGTGCAATTTATTAAGTGTTTTACTTTCACAGTTTTTTCTTAAAGCTAACAAGAAAAAAAAAATCTTGACAAAGGTCCTATAAAGAAATCATGACATTGACACACCAATTATCCATTTAGTCACAGGTATGAACAGAACTTAACAAGATCTCTGCAGACAGTAGACAGTAAAACCTTTCTGCAAATGACCTGAACTTACTTTATTCCACTGAGGTGCATAATGCTTAAGACAATGGTTGCTTTTATAAAGAAGAGAATAAAGAAATCCACCATCTCTGCCATAAATCTGTGGGCCAAGGATGGAATAACATACTCTCTGCCTGTAAATTAAAAAGAAAAAAAAAAAAGTTAGGAAAACTAATCATTTCCCATAAGCCTTGGAACCCAAGCCAGGTAAATAAATGGAGAAAACGAAGTCAGGTACAGTTTGCTTATAAAAAATAATTTATAACCTTGCAACAATTACTGGCATTGATTCCATCAAAGTACGTTTATTAAAATACAGTAACACTAGGTTCCTTAGTTACTGAACAGTTTAAGATTTGCTTTCATCCCCCTTAAGGTTTACGATACAATTTCGCAGATAAATTTGATTATTTAAGGTACCCAATACTTTTTACTAGGGACTCAAATGAGGAGAATCTAGCTGATCACAAGTCTTTGACAAAATATTAAACATTTTTTTAGTAATAATAAAGGGTAAGTATAGTAAATCGCTGTGTTCCTCATTTCACCCCTATTCATTTAGTTTGTCTTGCTTTCTATGTAATAAATCCAGTGGTGATTGATCTGTCACCTTAAATTCTGAATGAGATCAAATTCAGGAATAACTAGAGCCCTTTGGCTGAATCAAGTAAAGAAAAAGTCTAAATAAACTAAAAAATGTAACTAATGCAAAATACTCAAATTCCCATGCAGAAGTCAAACAATAAAAGATCACTCGGCCAGGGCCCAAAGGTCCATTATTACTCTATTTGTATTCATGTAAATCTCCCTTTATAGCTGTCAGTTCCATTGTTTCATTTTATATATAATAAATATTAATTATACATCATCTGTATTATCGTATAATACATAGATGATATACAATAAATCCATGTCTGGATAATTTCCAGCATTACAGTGGGCTTGCCGCCCGAGAATTAAGCTTTGGACTCAACTCTCCCCGGCGTGGAGATCGATCAAGCGGGCGGTTGGGGGGCCAAGACCTCTTTACCCTCCGTAACCATCCATTCGTAGCGTCCGGTCCGAAAGGAACAGGGTACCGCCTCGCTGCAGGCTTTGGGCATCTCGGGTCCGGGAAGGGAAACGACCGGACGCGCGCGGAGAAATGCCAATCGGAGCGGCGGCCGCAGGTACGGACAGAACGAGCGCGCCCGCCCCGGCCCCCGGGAACTCCCCGAAGACCCTTCGGCCCCGCGCTTCTCACCTGCCTGCCGCCCGATCTCGCTCGGGGCTCGCGAAGGGGCGGCGGGTCCTGCTCTCGTCGCCGGGGCTGCCCGAACGGACCCCTGCCCCTGAGGAGCCCGGGGTCCCAGGCCCGCGCCTGGAGCCGGGGCGGAGGCGCCGGGGGCCGCCCCCGGGTCGGGCCCGGCGGCCGCGGCGCCCAGGAAGAAGAAGGGGCTGTAGTAGGCCAGCTGGGCGGCCTGGGGGCCGCAGTGCGCGGGGACGGCGGCCAGGCCGCCGTGCCAGGTGAGGTAGCCGCAGTAGGACTGCCACAGCCACTCGTGCACCTGCCGCGAGTACTCGCGCGCGCTCAGCCGCGCCGGCCTCTCCCGCGGCGCCGCGCCGGAGTCGGAGGCCGCCTCCCCGCGCTTCCCCTGCTCGCGCGGCGGCTCCGAGTCCCCCGCGGCGGCCGCAGTGGGCGCGAGGCCCGGGGCTGGGGGCCGGCCCGGGGCCTGGGGCTCGGCCTGCGGCCCGTCCCGGGGCCGTGCGGCGGCGGCGGCGGCGGTGCGGGGGCCTCCTGGGGAAGGGACGGGCTCGGGGTCCCCTCCGCCGTCGTCCTGCCCGGGCGGGCGGCCTCGGGCTTCCTCCGGCCCCTCCGCCATCGTCGCCTCGGCAGCACCCTCGCCCGTCCGGTCACCTCGCCGTCTCCGCCCCCCACGGCCTCCCCAACGGCCGCGAAGCCACCGCAGCGGCCGCGAGGGTCAACAATCCGCCGCCGGAAGCGGAAACCCCGTCCCTCGCCGCCGACGCGACCGCGGGGCGGGGCCTGGAGGCCGGGGGCGGGGCCTGGAGGCCGGGGGCGCGCTCGCCGCGAGGCGCGTACCGACTTCGATCCGGGACCGTCGTCCTCGCCGTGCGCCGCCAGCCGCCTCCAGGTTTAAGGAAGTCGGGAGCCCACGGCGTCTTCAGATAGGCCCGCGGGCTGTGGACCCAGGCTGCCCGGGGAGAAGCGGCTGATGGCGGAAGCGGCCCTCCGGGAGACGTGCCCGGGTCAGCGCCCCTTCTCTGCCACGGAGCCGCGGCTGTTCGGGTTGCCGGGCACGGGGCTCGTTCCTTGCCTGCATTCCTTCCCGTTGACCGGTGCTCGGCCTTCTGTGCTCAGGGTGGTGCGGGCGTATCTCCTCGAGAGGGCGAGGAACGGCTCACCGAGCCACACGGGCTCACATCAAGGCCGATGGCCCGGCTGCGGAGGGGCAGGGGTGGCGCCGGGCGGAGGGCCGCGCGCCGCCCGCGTCCGTGAAGCCTCCTGTCCCGCTGCTGTAGGCACACCTCTACTCCAGCAGGCCTGCCTTCCTCACGCCGCTCGTCTCGACGTTTGGTGCCTTTCGCCTTATTGATATGCCAGGGCTTTGGCGCCCGGGCAAGACGTCCCTTTCCTCTGAACTGTACACAGGACCCTCCGTACTCAGTGTGTTTCCCCATGTCATTGCGTTGATCAAGGATAGGCATCTGTCTTCGTATTCCCAGGTTTCATACAGAAGACGTACAGGGGCCAAGTCCCGCGGGTGTACTTGTTATAATGCCCAGGGTCATTCTTATTCTTGACTTTGGTAGATTAAAAAAAAAGTAAAAGGTGTAACTTTTGCCCTTAAGAAGCCCATAATGAATTAATTGGTTGAAAGACTTTCATGAAACACTTGAAGACCTGTTTAGGACAAGGAGTATAATATGAATCCAAAATAAGGGAAAGATCGTGGCCTATAGCTACAAAGGCTATCCCTACAGATTTGGTTTTAAAACTGTGAAGAAGTTGTAACATTTAAGCAACCATTCCAAGTCTGGAGCCAGAGGGAGGGGCAGGAGAAACAGTAAGAAATGAAGACAGAATGGACTTTGTTTTTTAATGCCATTGATTATGTGGCACGTGGCACAGTGCCACCCATGTAATAGACATACAATCAGGGACAAAGGTAAATAAACACAACAGATAGTGCCCAAAGAGAACTAGATTTGAAAATGAGAGTTTTTTTTAAGTCAAATGTAGAAAGAGATCAAAATGACTTGAGAAAAATGGTAAATACTGAAGGTTGGCAAAGAAAATCCTGCATATGGATAAAAAGCCCCTAATCAAGAACACTAACAACAAATACAGCACATTATAACTCAAGAGAACTTTATTGTACAAGTAGAAATATATTCTACTTATATGTTCATATATATAAAAATCGAAATCTCATATTGAAAGAGCATATTGTGTACCTGAAGAACACTGATAATGAACAACAGCAGAATGTATTGTTAAAATTATTAGCCTTTACATTTTGAAAAGTGGTAATTTAGACCAAAAAGTAATTTATAAGAGAAAGAAACTGGATCATCATACAATTTCAACATTAGCACCATACAAGAAGAAAATGGTGAAACATTTAAAATATTCAAAGAAAAAAAAAACCAAGGAATGTGTGTGTCCAGCAAAACTTTCAAGTATAAAAGCGTAGACTGATTTGTTACCAAAATGCAAGAGCTCATAGAATGTTACCTACTTGAATTCTTCCTGAAGACTCTACTAGATGAAGCTCAGCAGTCAAAACAATTGACAGACAATGACAGGACGGTTAGTGAACATAGATACCTGATTACGTCTAGAGCTAGGACTAGTTGAGGGCTCATTTCAGTCAAGGTCCAGTCAAGATACAGAAATTACACAGTAATTTGAACAGAGAGCATTTACTATAAAGAATTGCTAACGGAATTGAAGTAAAGGGTGGTTATCTAGTAAGAGGCAAAGAGAACTCCTACCGCATAGGACTAGTAGATTAGGGAGCAGCTACTACCCCCAGGACTGAAGTAGCATGGCCAAGGGAGAGCCCCCCAGCCCCGCTCTCCAGATCTCGGAGAGGGTATGACTGTGGCTCCCTAGTGGGCAAAGAACTTCCCTGAGATGTGACCTCAGGGGGACCTGTCTGGAGGGCCTAGAGAAGCTATCTGCAGGTGCCTTTCCTCAGAATTCACCGCCCAGTGCCAGCAGCACACCCCTAGGAAGGCATCTGAAAGCAGGGTGCTGGGCGGAGCTGCTCCGGGAAGTTGCTGCTTGTTGCCGGCCGCTGGCTGCTCCCGAAAGGAGCCGTGCACTGGGCAGGAGCCCCAGGGGACGAGCACATGATAGCCGGAGAGGGACCTCCTCCAGGGCCCTTCACCAACAATACCTAACAAGCTAGCTGGCACAGGAGGAGTAGTTCCAGAGTTCAGCTCCATTGTTGCAGAGCAAAGATGAGCTCAGAGTCAATAAATAGGCATCTAACAGAGTTAAAAGTATATATGGGTTATATTCTGAAATATTGACATAAGTTTAAAATTGGAGGGGAGTACAGGGAAGCATAGACAAAAATTAATGACAGTATGTTGATGGTAGTATTAGTGTTACTATTTTGAGAATGTGTAATGTGGGATAAAATGAATAATTATCATTAGTATGACCTGTCTGTGTATCTTGTTTCCTGGGTGTTTTCAGTGGCAATCGTTGTCCTTATCACTTGGAACTGTGGTCCTGACATACTAAGTCTCACTAATTTAAAACAAGGGCTTCTTGGGGAATGGATGACTCTCGGTCTGGGGCAGGAAACAGAATGAACATGGTGTTTCTTGTCATATTGGAGAGCAAGAGAAATATTATAGACTTACAGGGTCCTGTCCGAAGGCCCCAGGATCCAACATGAAGAGGTTCTTTTTGGCCGTAATCTCTTGGGAACCTTTAAAGACCACTCGTGCCTGGCCCCACCCCTGAAGGTTTTGATAAAGCTGTTGTTGGTCAGGGTCCAGCTACTCATGTTTTCTAAAAACTCCCCAGGCAGTTCTACTCTTCAGCCAGAGGTGATGAAGCATCTGTAGGTAGGCCTGGCTGGCCCTGACCCAAAGTGCTGGTCACTCCGTCCTTCCTGAGCGCCTCAGGGACTATGTAGTCTCTCCCCTCCTCTAGTCACAGACTTATTTCTATGTCCATCACCGAGCATTTTAAGTGCTAGATACTGTGCCAAGTACTAGGAGTACAAAGGCGAATCAAGCCCAGAGTTCGCAGCTGAAGGACTGCAGGATGGAAGGGAGAGGTCGGTAGGTAAATGAGTCCAGGGCAGAGCGTGAGCCCAAAGCAGGGAGTGCCCGGATCCACCCGCAGCGAGACAGAGGTGTGAGCTGGGAAGGACGTTATAGAGGGGGTGAGCTCTGAGCTGCGGGGGGCCTTCACCTGTGCGGGCGCCACAGGGAAGGTCATCCAGGGGAGCGAGCAACGCGAGCAGAGTCCACGGGAATGGCTGTCTGGTGTGGACCACGGAGAGAGATGTGGTAAAGCAGGGGGGGGGGGCTGGGTTATGAGGGGCTTCTGTGCCTTACGAGGGAGTCGGGACTCTATCCTCTGGACCACAGAAGCTGACGAGAGCTTCAGCTGGGGGACAACGCTGGTTGCATTTGTGTGTTAGAACTTTCCCGCTGGCTGCCAGGCGGATGGGGGGCCGGAGGGATGTGAAAGGAGAGACGGGGGCTCCTGTGGGGAGACTGCAGTCTGGGTAAGATGAGAGAACCTGAGCCCAGGCATGAGCAACACATGAAAAAGGAGGCGTTTAAGCGACATTAAGGAAGCCCAGTTTACAGGACTTGGTGATGGCTGGGTTTGAGGAGACAGCTGCAGCCAGTCTCTGGGCCGGGCGCCCGAGTGAGTGGGCACGACGCCCCCCGCAGGGGGAGAGAGAAGGCGGACGGAAGGGGCAGTAAGGGGCCCGGGAGATGACGACTCTGCAATGGACAGAAAAGAAGGCCAAGAAGGGAGGCTGAGGAATTATGGGGGTGCGGGGAGGGCGGCGGACAGCAGAGAGGACAGAGGGGCGGGGGGCAACGGAGGGCCGGGTGGGAGGAGGGCCCCCCGGAAGGGAGCCACACCCGGCGTCAGACCAGGGAGACATGGGGGAGCATGAGGACGTGGTGGGCATTTTCCTTCCTGACCGTCGATCTTTCTCCCTGTTGGGTAACCGCACCCCAGTGTCGCTGTCCTGGGTAACTCCCTCCCAGCACGTGCGGGGTGGTAGGCGGCCAGTTCCAAGCCCCGGGTGGACCCAGCTCAGCCGACTGGATGTCGTCACCCGGGACTCGGGGGCATGGGCCCCGTGATCCAGGGATGGCATGAATCTGATGCCCGCAGAGATTCCGGGTGAGACGTGGTCACCGCGTATCCGCACTGCGTCCTTTACTGCCAGAGGCTGTGGCGTCCTTCCAGTAATTCCGGGAAGTGTGAGTGAGCCGGCGCGGGCTGCGGTCCCTCCGACCTGAACTGAATTTGGGCATTGTGTCACCTATGGCTCTGCCCGAGTTGCCTCGTGCGGTGAAGGGTGAAAGGTTGATTGAAGACGGAAGCAAAGGTGAGGAAGTGGAGATAATGATCGCATTATGATCTTAAAGGACTTTGTTTTGGGAGAGAAGGTGTTAGGAAGTAGCTAATTGTTTCGAACCATGTTTGAATCCATGTTTTGCTAGGACGACTGAAGCGGGTTCCTGAAGATTGGGCAGCCATGAATCTGTTGTTTTAGTATTGATTTCTCTAGTTTTTAGTGTGATTTAGTTATCAACCTACTTCATTTGTTCTTACTAATAATATATGACAGCTCAATCCATAATGGCAAATTGCTCTTTTAAGTGTCAACTTTAGAATAAAGGTTTGGTAGTAATAGAAAACCATTTTGAAAAATAAAACCACCTGCCTCTGAAAAGCTGTCCAAAGCACCGAGTAAAATATTATGTTAACAAATAATTTGATTTCGGTGCTAAATTAAGAAAAAGACACATAAAATAAGGAAAGCATCGTTTCCTTTTCTAGCCAAACCTGGGGTGAATTGCTGTATGAGGCTTTTCTGCCCCCTGGTGGTTGTCAAAAGAGCACTAAGAAATTTATTATCTGCTATTAAATTTTTATCCCTTATATTTTCTTTGTAACAGAATTTTACTGTAGGAATTTAAAGTGATTTATAAATGTATCAGCGTTCATGTCACCAGGCACATGTTATTCCTAAAAATGGGCAAAACTCTAAGCAATAGCAAACCTCATATAATGCAGACTGACCGGAGGCAGCCAGTAGGTGGAGGAATTTCCAAGGCTACGGACGGACTATCCAAACCTGATTTCAGAACTTGAGGGACCTTAAACACGACCCACCCGGGTTCTCCATTATCACTGACAGAAACCAGGGACTGGCTCCAAGTGACATATACATGCAGGGTCTGAAATCCTGGCCAAAGGAAAGACTCTTTAAGGATGAAGATTAGAATTCACCTGGGGTATACAAGAATTTGGGGTGAAGTAAAAGCTTTTTAGGTATGGACAGCATGAGATAAGGAGCTGAAAATACGTAGGAGGGATGAAGAAAATGGCTATGGCCGAAGCGAGACAAGAGGCCAAGAAGAAGGTACATGGTCACATGTTAGAAAGTGTTACGATGGACAGAAAGGTCAAGGCAGGGGGCTGAGCGTTTGGCGAGGACCCAGTCAGCGACAGACAGACAAAGGACAGACAGTTATAAGATAGAAAGTTTCGGTAAATGAAGGTGCGGATGAGCTCTGCAAGAGACCAGTCCCGAAGGGGGAGCCGCCGCGTCCGTCGGGCCCTCCCCGCGGATTCGGGCGCCTCCCTGGACCCCCTCCGCGGCTGCGGCTCCCCTCCCGCCGCCACGCGCTGCACCCCCAGGATCCCCCCATTCATTCCATCGCCGTTACTGTGCAGGGGGCCCCGCTGCCGCCCGGTCCGAGCCGGGAACTTGCAGGGCATCCGCTGAAACGTCACCAGATTCCCACTCTGTTCGTGGCCCCCTCGCTCCTCCGGGCCAAAGAACGAAAAACGCTGGTTTCTTCTCCATTTTCTCTCTTATTACAAAATTGTATTAGCCTGTACATTCTTTCCTAAATTTAATATCCTGGCTCATTTTATTCTTCCTAACTAACCACGAGACCTGATCTTCTTTTTATACAATAGGATCCCCCCCCCGCCCCAATCAATTTTATGAACAAACCATGTTTTCACCTGTCAGACTGGAAAAATTACTAAGACTGATGGTAGCCAGTGTTGATGAGGCATTGAGAAACAGGTTCGCCCAGGCACAGATTGTGGACGTGGAAGTTTGTACAATATTTTTGAAGGAGAATTTGGTGGCATCCACCAACATTCAAAATATCGGAGCTTGTGACTCATTAATCCACCCTTTAGGAATCTACCTTTAAGAAATATGAGCACTAGAGTATAAAGATACCTTTCAAGCCTATGTAAAACAAAAATAAATGAAAGGGTCATCAAAAATTAAAAGATTAGAAAGCAGAATGATAGTATGATTTGTTAATAGATCCAATAACTAGTCCTTTGAAGAAAAAAATATGATGCATGAAATTCTGGCAATGTTAATTAAGAAATAAAGGAAAAATTACATCAAGAATTTAAAACACCGAAACAGTTAAAAAAAAAAAAAAACCAGAATATGATGTTCAACTGCATTCCAACAAATTGAAAAAGCCAGAGGAAATGGATGATTTCTTATAAAAAGATTCCCCAAATAGACTCCAGATGACAAAAACCTGACATTTATAACCACTGAAGAAATTTAAATATCAAAGGACTACGAGTCAAATGGTTAATCTTTTTTTAAAATTCTCCTTTCCTAGCTGCATTACCTTGAGCTCAAAACAATGCCTGTATATTTTTTGCATTTTGGAATTTGGGATATTAATTTTAGGCTACTATGTGATTAATTTAATTAATATGTAATTAATTTAATTATTTAAGGTATTGAAAAAATAGTCAATATAATTGGCTTTTTCTAGCTCACCTGAAAAACCCAGAATATTCCTTATTTGCCTACTTCTCATCTATTTTTAATTGCAAAAGTAAAACATGCTTGTTATAGTACATTCAAAACATAAAGAAATATCTTTGCACCCCAAAGGATTACCACCCACATTGTCAGTGTAGATGTTTCTCTACATTCTCCTCTACTTTTTCAAACATCAAAGGTAACTTTTTAATTTTTGTAATTCTCTGATATTTGCTTTATTAATTATTTCTCCAATATTCTTTTGATCGGTGTTGTTTCCTTTTCCAAACTTTTTTGCTAGAATGCTTATTGTTCTGTAATCTTTTATATATAGCTCTTCTGTTATTGCTAATTTGTTATTTCAGTATTGCTTTCTTCTTTGATTCAAGAATTACTTCAGAGAATAATTAAACTTTTTCAATGGTCAGACTATTTTGCTAAATCTCTTTCCTGTTTCAGCTTTATTGCCTTACACTGAGAGACTATGGTCCATGTAATATTTATTTTTCAAACTCTTAAGATTTTCATTTTACCCTAAAATAGGATTAAGTATATAAGACACAGAAAAACAAGTATATTCTTTCTTTTAAAAGTTCTACAGCCTTGTTAATTATATAATTTCAGTGATATGA